CACCTTCCTTGGCCCAGCGCTTGCTGCTGCCATGTCCCTGGAGCCGGTGTTTCTGGCAGGGCTTACCCTCTTTTCACAGCTGACTTACTTCAGTGCATCTGTGGGCATGGCCAACCTGCATGGTGTTATTGATAACTCATAGGCATATTCATGCTCCAATGGTGATCTTTTTATTATAAGTACTACCATACAACTCCTGGGAAGTATTGTCAGGACTATATCTTCATGGATGATAGATCTTGGCAGGATGGGATCTGAATTAGTGAAGAATGTTGGCAGGATCGGATCTGCATGCATGGTAAATGTTACCAGGATATGATCTCTAGAGTTCAACAGACAGCAAGGCTTAACAAGACCACACTTTCCTCCCTCCTCTAGGTTTAGCAAGCTCTTCTTTTTGGCGATCTCTGTCTGGGCTTACAGGGACTGAAGACTAGGAAAATCCCAGCAGCCCTCCAGCATCGGGAGAGAGCAGGGGGCTGCTCCGTACAGATTTGTAATTCAGGGACAATAGCTCATTTGCCTTCTGTGGAGTTCTTTGCTTCTCCACTTTGCTATGTTCTCCACTGAGAGTATATTCTCCTCCTTTCCCACTTTGGCAGCATCCTCTACCCTTAGGTAAAGTCAACTGAGCCTGGGGTGGGTCCCTCTGGGAGTACAGCCTTACTACAACACCTTCAGAAATTAATTACTATAAAAAGAGGTGCTGGAATTCAGGCTTGTTTAAAAAACTACTATGGTTTTGGTTCCTTATTCACCATATTTTCTGCTGTGTGGGGATTCTTATATAGTTAACTGGTTTTGTGAAAATTTTCTCCATTCTTATCTTATCTTACATGTCTGAATTCCTGACAGTGAGAGAAATAGTTAGGGAGAGCTGGTGTGGTATAGTGGCTAGAACATTGGATTATGACTCTGGAGATTAGGGTTCAATTTCCCCTTGAGCATAAAAATTCACTGGGTGACCTTGGGCAAGTCACAATCTCTCAGCATCAGAGGATGGCAAAGGGAACCCCCCTCTGAGGAAACCTGCCAAGAAAATCCTATGATAGGTTTGTCTTGGGGTCGCCATAAGTAAAATATTACTTGGAGGCACACAACAACAACAACAGCGACAACAACAATGCACCCTGCTTTAGGACACAAAAATATGAGATGTGACACACAAATATGAGTGATTCACAATTCTTCTCTCCATGTTTCTACAATACACACATACACCTGGATAAATATGTGTGCATGTCTGTGTCTCTTGGGATTAACTACTACACAGATGTCTCTAGGGAAGTACACCCAATCCCTAGGCTTTAAAGGAAATGTAGGAGGATAGTAGCAGGAGATGTGTATGACTCATGCTTCCATCTCACACTATGGAAGCAACAAAGTAGTAAAGGCTGGGACCATTTGCCAACCTCCCCCACCTCCTTTCCCAAGTATCATTGCAAATCACTAAATGACAGTGTCTGCCACAGACTTGCCCCATTTAGAACAGTTTCATTCAGTAATTGGCCCCACAGTGGCTACTTGTCAAGCATATTCACTCTGGTTTTACTTGTCTAATATATAGATCACAAGCATTTGAAGTCAGGGCTTCATATGCTAACAGAGGACCCAACTTTGTTGGTAGTATCTATAGCACTTTTCATGTCTTGAAATGGGACAGGAAGTTCTACTCCCTCCTTTTGCTCATCCAGCTAAATGATGAAGTCATTCCATGTCTCTGTTGAACCCTCAGCAACCACTCCCCCATGCTCACCACTTGTCATGCTATAATCTAATCAAGCTTAATTAATTATGCCACAAATGGGTGGCATCAAATCAAAATGCATAGCACATTTACTGAGGAGTGTAAAAACAACAAAACACTGTATAATCATCAGTGAGTCCATTAACATAAAGTTCTTGGTTTATTCATCTCAAAAATGAGTGTTTAAAGAACTAACATACAGTGAAAAGACAAAGGACATTGTCACATGATTTCTACAAGTTGGAGTTGAGATAACAGATTTGTTTCATTTTCCATTGAAAAGTGATTTCTCTTTTGTGATTTTCAAGCATTTGTTGTGAACACTTCCCAGCTCTTGTCCTCTTCTGGCCTCACTTACATTTGTTGTTATGTGTGACCTGCATAATTTTAAAAATGATGTAGCAATGCAACGTCAAACATGATGGTGTCAGAGAGACACTTATGGACAAGATCATAAGAGCTGCCCCAGTTAACAGAATTAACCAGCAGTGTCAGCTAATGAGAGAGAGGACAAAGAGGGTTGGGAGGGAGAAGAGAGAAAATAGCACTGAGATTAAACAGCAGGAAAGCAAGTGTCTTTCTGGTAATTTGCTGGCTGTGTTGAACATACTACTTCTGAAAAGAACACTGACGTTAATGAATATTTTATGCAGCCCTCCCTTAATTCATCACAAGAAGGTCCAGCTCAGGAGGCAAAAAAAGAAAACCCTGCAGTATTCATGTGGTAAGACCAGAAATAATCCTGGATTCCCTAAATGCTTTAGCCAATTGATCTTCCCTTTCACTGAAAATTTGGGATCAAAATTAATCCTCTTGGATGAGGGGGGAAAATAACCTTAAAGATTAGACTAAGAATCCATTTAGGCAGTAATTAATAGTGCTGGTATTATAGAATCAGGATCTCTTTTGGAATAGAGCTCTAAGGCTTCCTGCTTGAGCACGTTAATCCACCATTCATGCAGATTTTTTAATTTACTAATTTATTAGCATAAGTTATATATGATCCCTTTTCAAATCTGTAAATGCAAATATTCTTTATTCTGCAGATTAATGGCCAGTTAGACCTGAGTTGAGTTCTCAATGAAAGCATCCCCCATGCTTTGTGCCTCCCAACAGCAGCCACTGGCAAGGTCTCAAGGAGGAAAGCAAACAACAGCCCTTCCATCATCCTTGATTCCAACTCAGCAACCTGTTGTATGACCTGTCAGTGGCATACCTTGTGTATCTGGATATTTTTAAAATACCCCCCTCCTCTCTTCAACAGCCCTTTCTGGGTCTGATGGAGCTGCTGGCTGGGAAGCAAAGGGAGTCATCAGACCTGAGGGCAGCCCAATCTATTCCTGCCATCCTGCAGCCTTTTCTGTGTCTTGTAGAGTGGGGGAGAGTGGGAAAGGAAGGAGACTCACGTTTCCACCCAGCAAGCAGAACTGCCAGACCTAGAAGACAGCCCCTTCCCATCAGTGCCCCAAATGACGCCCCCTGTGAGGTGTCACATAATGCAGTCTACACCCCCCAGTGACCAGTTGAATTTTGTGGCAGCTGATGGAGAATCTGTTTCAGGGTTTAGTCTGAACTTTAAACGAGCTATCTACAATGCTGAACCCATTTTCATATTGGATGACAAATGATGGAGGAAAGCCACTGCTGGCTGGCTACTACTGGAAGCAGAAAGCGAAACACAATGGACCTTGGTCTGATCTAGCAGCAGCAACAGCACTGTTCTTTTTGTCTTGAGCTAAAGAACCTCACACAGACCTTTGAAAGTACATGCTCACAGCAAGTAATATTGTGACTCTGCCATCATTCAATGCATACTCTCATTTCAGACTACATTATCTTAGGAAAACTTGGTTCCTCAGTTGGCCAAAGGGATGGAAGGAATTTAGCTGAGACAAATTATGAAACCTAAACCAACTTGGGCTACTTCAAAGGAATTTATCACACGGGGAAAAATGGAAGATTAAATGGGTAAGAACCCATGATTATGCAGCGTATTAGGCGCAAATGCACGAATGGTTTTTACACAACGTTGTGCATAAACCACATAAAATCTAGGCATTTTCAGGGATATATCATGAATTCATTTCTGTTTCATTCACAAATGCTGTAGTGTGAAAGCTACTTGTGGTTTATTCATGGGATTCTCCCTGTTTTTGTGTTTGTTGCCAGATTTCCCATGATTCTTTGGGGTGAGTTTACTTCCACTGCTGTGGGGCAATATGGGGCAATACTATAATACTGCTTATAAAGGTCCTAAAATAAGTACCCACTCTTCTTCATAGACAGAGCTCTTAAAACAAACAGCTAATGCAAAGAGAGAGAGAGAGAGGTGAATGAATGAATGAATGAATGAATGAATGAATGAATGAATGCTTGCC